CCAGGGATCAGTTTGTGTTCCCAGCCTGGGGGCTGGGCACGACCCTTCCCAAACAACCCCCGATTGTGCCCAGCTCTCTGCTCCTGAAGGACACCCTTGTTCCAGCAGGAAGCAGGGTGTGGCCAAGGGAGTTATTCCCAGCCTGTGGGCTGCTCTGTGCCCCTTCAATCCCAAAGACCTCTCAGATAAAACCAGCTGGATTTGGGTATGGCTTGTTCTAACTCAGGCACTGGAGGAGGGAGTAGTTGCTGCGTGTTGGGTGTAGGTTTGCTCGTGAATTCAAGGTGACCTGAGGAGTAAAGCAGTAGGTTGGCCAAGGGAAGGGGTGCAGCCTCTCCACACATTTGGGAGGCAGCACTGCAGGACTCTCCAGCAGCTCCCAAAAGGATGTTATACCATCACCCTACAGTCTCCTGTGTGTAACACAGTGAGAAAAACTGGCAGTAGGAGACACAAGGCAAGTGAAAATGTCTCCAAGTCTCTGTGTTGCAATCACAGCCATACACTCAGAGTAAGTCTATTATTGGTGTTTCAAATGTTGGTAAGTATTTCTATCACTTTCAGAAGAGTCGTAGCATAATTGTTTAAGAAATAAAGATGTTCCCAGGGCTGGAGCCCCTCTGGAACCAGGCTGGGAGAGCTGGGGGTGTTGACCTGGAGAAGAGAAGGCTCCAGGGAGACCTGAGAGCCCCTTGCAGGGCCTAAAGGGGCTCCAGGAGAGCTGGAGAGGGACTGGGGACAGGGGATGGAGGGACGGGACACGGGGAATGGCTTCCCACTGCATTATGCATATATATATGCAATGCATAACCAGAGAGCAGGGTTAGATGAGATATTGGGAAGGAATTCCTGGCTGTGAGGGTGAGGAGGCCCTGGCGCAGGTTGCCCAGAGAAGCTGTGGCTGCCCCACCCCTGGAAGTGTCTAAGACCAGGTTGGATGGGGTTTGGAGCAATCTGGGCTAGTGGAAGGTGTCCCTGCCCATGGCAGGGGTGGGACTGGATGGACTTTGAGGTTCCTCCCAACCCAGACCATTCCATGATTCTGTGAATACCGAAGTCCCGCGGTCAAAAAACAGGTGTCATATTTTTAGTGGAGAAGATAAATTTGACAACAGCTTTTACAATTTCTTTTTTCCTCCTCAGAAATACCCAAATTGAATCAAAGATTGGCAAAATCCCAGAGGGAGAACGAGTGTCTGCAGGAGAAGGTCAAACACCTGACAGGGGTGGCCGACACGGTTGAGCTGAAAACCCAACAGCTCCAAACTTCCCTTCAGCAAGGGAACGAGCTCCAGAGCAGGTGCCGTGAACTGCAGAAGGAGACATTGGGTAAGAGAATTTTGACATTTCTAGCAAAATTCCAAGGGGAAAAAACGCCAAAAAAAAAAGGTCTTTAAAAGCACTGAAGTTGTGGCTGTTACTGTGAAAAGACTGAACAGGACTGAGCAGGACTTTTGGCTCTCAGGACTGAACAGCAGCCAAGCCAGGCTCCTTTAGAGTCATTAAACAGGAGACTCTCTAATGATTTGCCCTTGATTGTGTGTCCTCTTGAAAACTGCGAGAACAGTGACAGCACTTGAAATTATAATAATATAAATTCTACTATCTTGGGAGCTCTGTAGAGACAATAACTCGTTATAAAAAGATGATTTATATTGGTATCTCCTGAGTCATTTTCTCTTGCATTCACAGCACTGGCTCAGGGATATTTTAAGACCTTGGAAACACATCTAGAGGTTGTGCTGTTCTGGGCACAGCTCTGAGTCATCAGACTGGCACAGCAGTTCCCAGCCTGCCTTATGCTCAGTGTGTGGGGTCAGGTTTAAAGCAGGGGGTCTCAGGGATGGGCACCATGGAGGAGTTTTGCTGCTCCTTCAGTGCCTGTGAAGATCCCAGATATGAGACTGCAGGGACCATCCATCCAGCCAGGGAAGTGCAGCTTCCTGGGGAAGCGACAGCAGGTGCAGAGGGGAATCAGAAGAGCCTTTCCCTGCTCCCCACTGGCCCAGCCCCAGGTGACTCAGGATCACAGGGGGTTTGTGGGGTTGGGTTCCTCAGCAGAGCAGCAGCTCCCGAGTCCTTCCCGGGACTTCAGTTCCAGTTTCTATTCTCCTGCTTCCAGAGAATCCTGGGAGGGGAGGGCACAGACTGTGCTTTTGATGGTGTGTCATCACCAGAGCTCAGCCAGCTCTACCAAAAGTGAAGCTGATGGAAGTCCCCCCTGTAAGTGCTTCACTCTGGCCCCCCAAATCCTGGATTTATATCCATGTCATCACCACTGGAGGAATTTGTTCTACAGTTTAGTCTCTGCATTTCCCTGGAAGTGTCCAAGGCCGGGTTGGACGGGGCTTGGAGCAACCTGGGACAGTGGAAGGTGTCCCTGCCCATGGCAGGGGGTGGAACTGGATGAGCTTTAAGGTCCCTTCCAAAATTGCTCCTTTCATCCAGGCTCCTCCTCCCAGTTAACCTGGGGAGGGAGTTTGGGATCCACACATTTGGGATCCATCTCTCACCAGTTCTGCTGCTCTGGGAATTCAGTGTTAATATGAACAACTAGAGAGTTATGGTTTTGAGGAGAAAAAACCATGGGATTTATTGAACTAAATTCCCATTTTTCACTTTCATGTGACATAATTGGAAGGGAAAGCTCTTGAAATCAACCTGAAAGGTTAGAATATTCTGAAAAAGCTTTATCCATGCTCTCTTATTTGTTAATTTTCACTGCTGGCATTGATGTGAGACCTAACCAAGACCTACCGTCTCTGGGGTTGTCTTTTTTTTTATCCCTCTCCACTTCAAAGGAATATTTTGGAAGCTGCTTGTTTATGTTTATAAAGAGAATTGAAAATTTGCAGTGAAACTTGAGATAGTGGGCATTTTATGGAGAAAACACAGCTAAAACATCACAAATGGAATTCATACAGAGTATTAGGACTCTGCAAGATCTTAATGAACAGTAAAAAGCTCAGCTAAATTGGTTGATGCTGAGGCATATATGAGGCATTTTTAAATGTATTAGTAAAAATGTAGCAGTTACCTGATAATAAATCAGTTATTAAGGAGCAGTAAGAGGTTTGATGTGGATATCCAGAAGATTTCAAGGCAGGAAAACTGCTGGCTCAGGCGTTTTGATTCTACCCTTCCTGAGTGGGTCATTAAAACACAAATCCATGAGGATTTGAAGGGGTCTGGCCTAGGGAACGCATTGCTGGATTTGGGTAATAAACCCAGTTAATGCACTGCTGATAAAAATGTTCTCTTTGAAATATAAAACATGATTTTCTCCATAAACAAGCATTAAATATGAGTTTGCCAATGTATTAAAATAAATTAGTGGGAACAAACAACAGTCTTGGTGGAAATGAGCTCCAGGGAGTGGAATTGTGCTGTCCAAAGTCAGGGTGTAGGAACTCAGCTGGATCCAGTGTCCGTGGGTTTGGGGGAGCTTGGTTTGATGGTTTATTTTGCTTTTTTTTTCCTCCCCCAAACTACTCTAACATCCCTCTTTGGTACTGAAATAGTTCAATGCTCCAGGGAAAAAACCCCAAACCACCAGGATTTGTGATTTCCATTTTTTTTAAGGATTCTCCTTTCAACAGCCAATATTTTGAAGATTCTTCTCTTGCTCATTTATCATAGAATTGTAGATTATTGACTATTTCCTGTGATAGCAGGCATTTGCAAGAGCAGAAACTGAGCAGTAGTTTCAACTGTTGTTTCTTTGTGCTCGTGCTTGTTGTGACTTCCTGAAAATTCCCTTTGTGGGGGATTTGTGGGTTCAGTTTGTTGGTGTCACAGTCCTTTCCAGCCTCTCAGAGCATCACCCGGTGAGTGGGAGAGGGCAGGTCTTGACAAATGCTCAGCACAGGGTAAGGTCTGGTGAATGATTGTCTAATCAAAGACTCACAGAACTAAAAATCAATAATTGGGATGGTGTCTGTGTATCTTTAGGGCTGGGAGCAGCAGAGCTTCAACAGCACGTGCTCCTCAAAGAGAGGAGCTGATCCTTGTGCTTTCGTTTCATTACCAGCCAGATCCTTTCCTCCACTTAATCACAGATAAAGAATCGTTTTTCTTCCCAGAGGCCTTGTGGTTTTTCTCTAACTCATTTATAGTTTCAGGCTTTACCCCTTTATGGGCTGAAATTGCTGGTGATGCATATGAAATGTGAATTTTCAATCTTTTGCTGCTCGTGCTCCATGGGCTACTTCAGTTCCTAAATATAAACTTAGTGGTCTGCTGACATAATGAGAGATGATGGAAACTTGCAGGCAGCTGGAGGAGGGACTGGAACTTGGATTGGGAATGTTAGTACTGCTCATGGAAAGAAGGAGCAGTGTTTTCATCCCGGTGAAGTGCCTTTAATGCCACTTTAAAGACCACTTTGAAGAGCTTTGAAAATCCAAAGGGGGAATAGTTTCCTGCAGTTTTAGGTAGGCTGCAGTTCAAACAGCCACTTTTCATGCTACAAGTGCTGTTGAAATATATTTTTTATGAATTCCAGCTGCGGTAGGAAGAGTTGGAAGGGGGAGAGCCCGGGAATGCAGGGCTGGTGCTGGAGCAGAGTATGACTAGGCAATGGCTCATTAGTGCTTTTCAACAGCCTCACAGTGGAAAAGGAAGCAGATGAATAGGATGGAAAATGGCACCCAAGTTCCCTTCAGGGAGGGATTGGGATGAGGCTCTGTTTGAGTTCGACTTACTCACAGAAGGGCCTCACTTTGCTTCTGGAGGAAAAGCAGGAATCCACGTTCTCCTTGTGGCCACAGGCTGGGAGACCTGGGAATATTCAGCCTGGAGAAGAGAAGGCTCCAGGGAGACTTTAAAGCCCCTTCCAGTGCCTAAAGGGGCTCCAAGAAAGCTGGAGAGGGACTGATTGCAGGGCTGGGAGACCCTCCAGCCTTGAGTCTGAACAAAACCACAGGTCTGGCTTTGGCAGAGATTCTGCTCTGGGCTGAAGGGTGAGCTTTGCCACCTCAGAGGTCCATGAAGCTGTGCCTGAACTGCGAAGAGAATTGCATAAAGCTTGATAAAATAAAAAATACTGTAGTCTGGGATTCTTCTGGCACTGCTAGTTTGCTGGCAGTGCCCTGAGTTTGTGGTGAGCAGGATGAGGGCACACGTGGAGCCCACGCAGCCCTTGTGCTTCCCAGTGGGAGCGTGGCCGGGGCTGCCCTGGTGGCACAGTGACTGTGGGATGAGTCAGAGCTTGTCCTGTGTACACCAAACCAGCTGCCTGATTTTCCCCAAACCACGCTGAAATGAAGGGAAAACGAAACCAACCCCTCCCTGAGCCGTTCTCTGTGTGATGCAGAGATGTGGGGAAGGAGCAGCTCCTCTTGTCTGCACTGCCCAGCCAGGCAGCGAGGAGCAGGCTGGGTTTCTCACCTTGAAAACACGTGGGCTCTGTAGACATGCATTTATTTTTGGTAGGCACAGTCATTTTAGACCAGAGACTCACTGACATGGAACAGGTTCCACCCTGACTGCCAGGACCTGCTGTGCTGGGCTTCTGTCCCTGGGCTGCTGCCCAGGAGGGTCTTAGGTGCTGGTGGGGGTCTACACATCCTCAGTGCCAAATCCAGGGTCCCCAGCACAGGAAGGACATGGAACTGTTGGAGCAAGTCCAGAGGAGGGTCACCAAGTTGATTAGAGAGGTGGAGCACCTCTGCTGTGAGGAAAGGCTGGGAGGGTTGGGATTGTTCAGCCTGGAGAAGTTTCGGGGTGACTTAGTTGTGGCCTTGCAATGCCTGAGGGGGCTACAGCAAAGATGGAGAGAGACTGTTTATAAGGCATGGAGTGACAGGACAAGGGGGAATGGCTTCAAACTGCCAGAGGACAGGGTTAGATGGGATATTGGGAAGGAATTCTTGGCTGTGAGGGTGGCCCTGGCACAGGTTGCCCAGAGAAGCTGTGGCTGCCCCTGGATCCCTGGAATTGTCCAAGGCCAGGCTGGACGGGGCTTGGAACAACCTGGGCTAGTGGAAGGTGTCCCTGCCCATGGCAGGGGTGGGACTGGATGGGCTTCAAGGCCCCTTCCCACCTAAAGCATTCTGGGATTCTGTGAGGATTCTCTGATCTATCTGAGCTGTGCACATGAACCTCCCTAGAAAGTCTTAAGTACAGACAAATAGTTCCCCTTTCCTTACATGTGTATAAACCACTGAGCTTTTAGTTAGATGAGACCAAGATTGTCAGAAATTATCTTGAGTTTTTTTGTAGGTTTTGCAGGAAAAGTAGATAATTACGCAGCTCTATCATGCATGCTTCTGATCTGATCTCCCTGAGAATCTGTTAGGAATTAACTGGGCAGTTGATGGCTTCCAGAGTGGCTGCTTACTGCTTATTTGTTTTTATTTTTCACTGAAAACTCTACCAGTTGTTGCTATTTCCCACCAGAATCTGGAACCTGTGCCCTTGGATGCAAACTGGGTGGCTGAATTCCTGAAAGCCAGTTCTGGGCAGGCTCCGTGCTGGGTGTTTTGAGGCTGCACTGATGGGAATTCACCCAAGGAAGAGGAAACAGCTTTGGTTCTGTTTCTTTGGTTCTTCCTGTCTCTGTGCACGTTCTGTGCTGTGTCCCCTCGGTCTCTGTCACAGCAGAGTCCCACCGAAAGGTTACTGCAAGGTTAATGGCTATGGTGAGATCCTTTCTGAGTCAGAAATAACTAAAATTAAACACCAATGATACCGAGATGGTTTTGGACTGAAGGTTTTTGAGATGTGGTTCTTCTTCAAGCTTTAAAGCGAGTATCAGTCTTACAGAGCCTCGATGCTTTCCGTTGGGTTTGCATGTTTTGCAATGCGCTTTATTTTCATTACCAGAGAACATTTTTACATAGTCATTTGAATATATTTTTCTCTATTCAGCAAGTTTTCAGCATAAGTTTTCATTTGTATTACCACTCTGCTTATTAGTTTCCTCATTTCACCATGTTTTTCATTGAAATCTCTATTATTTAGTCTCTGTGGGTGTGGGTCTGATTCCCCAGACTTTCTACTCTCCTGGTGACTTTGGTGGGAATTCTCCCTAGAGAAAACTTGCAGAAACCATCTGTGTAATTAAATCCATCTACTCCCTCATGAAAAACTCCTGTGCCTGCTCAGTGAATGTGAAAACTTCTGAAAACAGATTGAGTGAAAGAAGAAACAGCACTGGAAGGGACCACCCAAAGCACTAGAACCAAAATAAGCATCATCCCTCTCCTTTTCCTTTATCCCAGAACTTGTGTCCATATTCCCACATGGAGGAAGAGGAAAAAATGCCACAGTTATTAATGATTGCCAGAGATCTTCTGTAATACCATTTTTAAAAATTGTCAGATGTTTGGGCAAACCTTCTCCTCAGCAGCCTGTGAGGAGGTCAGAGGCTCTGCTCTCTCTGCTCTCCAGCTACAGTGATCTGGGCTAAATCTGTCCTCCCAAAGTCACGTTTCTGCTCTGGGGGTGAGGTTTTTCCCAGTGCTCTGCCTCACATCTGCTTGGCAGCTGAAGCCAAAGTTTCCCCTTTTTCCGTGGAATTCCGAGCCGTTGGCTCCACAAAGCAGTGTCAGGATGGATGACAGGAAATGAAAGTTGGGTTCTTTGGCCTTGGAGGAGGGTGCAGGGCAATCCATTGCTGAGGGAGGCCCAGGGGGAGGAAGCAGAAGGGGCTGCAGGTGGTCTGGTGTGTCCTGTGTGTGCGTGGCCACGACGTCCCGCTCAGAGAGAGGGGAGGATACCACCAACCATCCCAACTTGGGCCAGGCTCTGCTGGGCAGGGTTGGATGGCAGAGGGGCTGCAGGGCTTTGGTGACAAAGGGGAGTTTCTCAGGGAAGCCTTAAAAACAGCTGAGAGGAAGTTTTGGCCAGAGTCACACAAACAAGGGGTTTAACAGTGACCGGGGATTTATCTCAGCGGGTTCAACACAGGATGGATGTTCTGTGGTTCATTCCCAGGGAACTGAGGGAAAACATGGTTGGCTTTCCAGGCACAGAACTGAAATAGGGAGGGGGTAGTGAAGGATTAGAAACTGCTGGTTGCCAGGGGTTTTGAGGAGCAGCTGAGCTGCTCTCACCACTTGCTGTGGTAACACAAGACAATCACCGAGCACGGCTGACCTCAGCCCACCTTCCACTGATTTCATGGAACCAAAGCACCCAAGGACTTGGTATCACAGGTGTGTTATGCAAAAATATGGTTCATTTGTTTTGGCATCGGTGGCAGGTGGGGTAGAAGGTGCTTCTATAAATAACTTCCATGATTTTTTGCAAGAGCTTAGTCAAGGCCAAGGAAATTTGAACTTTCTCTTCCAAAAGCTCTTTCTGAAGGCTGATAGTTTGGGGATGGATCTGACAGCTCCTGTATGAGGTGGGACTGGGAATCCACGGGTCTGAGGTGGAAACAAACCACAGTGTGGACAAAGGTGAATTATTTTAGAATAACTGGAGACACAAACCACATGTTTTTGCTTTCAGATTTAACAAATCAAGTGGAGACAACTGGGCTGCAGCTGCAGAAGGTGACGGCCGAGCTGGACCACTACAAGAAGCTGTTAATGTAAGGTTCCCATCCCTGGATCCTTCCCCACTGCACAGAAAGAGGCACCAAACCACTGCTGTCCAACAAGTGCTGCTTGTCACGGTGATCTGAGAAGGTTTTGACCAGCAGAGGAAATATTTTTTCCTCATGTTATGATTTCTAAGCAGTAGTGTTTTTACAAGGAAATGTAGTAACAGGACTAGGGGGAATGGCTTCCCAGTGCCAAAGGGCAGGGTTAGATGGGATATTGGGAAGGAGTTCTTGGCTGTGAGGGTGGGGAGGCCCTGGCACAGGGTACCCAGAGAAGCTGTGGCTGCCCCTGGATCCCTGGAAGTGTCCAAGGCCAGGTTGGAGCAATCTGGGCTAGTGGAAGGTGTCCCCGCCCGTGGCAGGGAGTGGAACTGGGTGGGCTTTAATGTCTCTTCCAACCCAAACCAGGCTGGGATTCTGGGATTTTACACTGTAGGTTTGGGATAAAAGGTTTTTATTGCCATAAAACAAATCACAAAGTGTAGTATTTAATCAGTGGCTCCGATTTCTTTCTTTATCTGCCCCCCAAGTGTGAGTTTGCTGTTACTGCCCCACACCCCATGTCCTGCCCCGCTGGAATTTCACTGTGTCATGCCTGTGTTTTAATGAAGAATGAGCAAAACCTAAATTAATAGAGCAAAAAAAGACTGTCATCAAAAATAGACTGTCATCAACAATAGAATGTCACCAACAATGGAATGTCATCTACAATAGAATGTCACCCACAACAGACTGTCACCAGCTCCTTGTCAGAGCCAACTGCAGCAGGTGCCTGGAAAGAGAAGCTCACAGAGCTCCATCTCACAGTCCCAGTTCAGATATTTAGCTCAAGAGTGAGGAACTGGTTCTACCAATGTCAAGACCAGCTGTCATTCCTCTTTTCCCATGTTTTCCTGAAATTTAAATAGGGTTCAGGCTGTTCTGCTCTGGACTTTCTGGTTTCAGTTCCTGTGTTCAGGGGTCTGACCACAGCCGAGTGGCAAATATTTGGAATGCTTAGCAACAACCTATTTTAGTGATAATGTAAGGATTGAGTGTGGAAAAAAGATGTCATGGACATGGTTAAATAAACAGGGAGGGCTTTCCAAATGTAATATTAAAATTTCAATGCAATATGGGCACAGTTTCATAAAATAACATATTCTATATCTGTTTAAATGTAAATATGAAGCTTAACCATGGTTATTAATTGGTGAAACGATGACATAATGACACGAAACCTGAAAAGTTTCCAGCCCTTTCACCTACAAAGATTGCTATTTGTTCAATTTTATTAATTTTTTCCTCAAAACTTTCATCCTTGTTTGCAACATTTGTGATCCTGCTCAGGCTGAGATGACAATGGAAGTGGAACTTCCAATTAAGACAAATCTTACCTGGAGCTGAAAGAATTTCTATTTGTGGCCTTTTGACTGAAACAGAAAATGCAAGTTGGATAATACACCCAGAAGTGATGTCCAGGTTGTGCAGGAGCAAAGGCTCATTTCTTTGGATAACACACTTTTTGGAATTTTTTTTAGGATGAAATCAACAGAACTTGAAGTCTGTCAAAATGAACTGAAAAAGATGAAATACGAAAACGGAATTTCTGAGTCAAGGTAAATGCTGAAATGATATTTCATAATACCTTTTTCTGAACAGGAGAGCAAAAATGGTATGATTTTAAAGCAATTTTATGCAATATTTTTTCCTATTTTTCTGTGAAGTCATCAGATTTAACTTCATAACAAATACATTGGGGATTTGTTGTCTAACATTTAATTTTCCAGGTACAAATTATTTCTGTTTGTAACCAAGAATACAGTCACTCCAATGCTGATACTTTCTTATTTCATCTGCAGGCTCACCAAAGAGCTCAAGGAAAAGGAGGAATCCCTTCTAATTTGCCAACAAGTCTGCAAACATTTACAGGAGGAAGTGGCTGAGAAGGAGAGGAAAGAAGAAGACCTGAAAAGAAGAACTGGGCGATCAGAGAGTGAACTGGAGACACTGAAAACTCTGCTGAGCCAAACAGAGGAGGAGGTGGTGATGCTGAAACAGGAGAGGTAATGGGAGCTGGGCTGAAGTGGTCCTGAAAATTCCTGACAGTTTGGAATTCATCAATTCATCGGATTGGTTTTTTAATTATTGAAAGAGAAACAAAACTTGAATGGGGAAAAAAAAAAGAAAAGAAAAAATCCTATTAAAAAAAAATAGGAGGGGAAAAGCCCTGCTTGGCTCTCCAAGGCTTCAGCTCGAGCTTAATCAAACCCCTGGACACCCCTCTGGGGCAGCTGTTCCAGAGGCACAGGGAATATTCTTTACATTTATCTTTAAATACAAAACCCTCTTGGCGCCTCTTGGCATTTTTAAATGGTCACAACAAGCCCGTGGTTGTCAGGAATGAAACTGGGTATGTAGATTATGGTCAGGGTAATTAAAAAGTATGGATTTAGGTTGATAAGGCTAAAGCAAAGGCACTCAAAGGAGATGCCATTCCAGGGAAAATAACCCTCAGAAGCTCAGTGCTTTATTTTCCACATCTGACAAGTAATTCCAGGGAAAAAGGCAGCTTTGTTCATAGCTGAGAACCTTCAAAATCAGGCTGAACTGGTGGGAAGTTGCCCTTACACTTCACCAAGTACCAGATCATATCCAAGAGCCTGGAGTACTGGAATAGTTATGGCATTTTATGGTGTACAAGTTGCTAATAACATAAATTACAAGAATTTAAGCTCTCCAGGAGTTTTGCTTTACAAGGCATCACATAACAAACAGTAACTTAACAGCAGAAAGCACTCAGTGGTTTTAATTCCAAACACCCCACAATTTTTTAATCAATGATAGCAGTTGTTCTGAGTTCACTAAGTGCTATTTCTGGTTTGAATAGTGAAAGTTTTTCTGTGTTCTTCAAAATTTGACTTGAGAAATACTGAAGAAATATTAAGATCTTGTTTGAGGTGGAAGGAAGATGAGCTGCAACATTTTCTGTGAGACATGGAATTGATGGAGCGAGTGGTGGCACTGTGGGAATGCTGAGGAGTGATCCCACTGTGCCTCTGGGCAGGATTCCTGGGGGTTATTGCGCAGAGTGCTGGGCAAAAGGGAGAGGAATCGCACCCCTGGGGGTGGAGCTCATCCTCACATCCAGTTGTTGTGGTTTCCAGGGAGCTGATGGTGGTTTCCCACCAGACCAGGACGGAGCAGCTGCAGGAAGCGCTGAGGCAGAAGATGAGGAGTGAGGAGACCTGGAGGGAGAAGGTAACCCTGGATGGGCCCCTGGCACCCTCTGCCTCTGGCTTTATTTGGGGTTTTTTCAGTTGTCACAGTGAGCACAGTGAGGCAGGGACTGATCTCCTCAAGTGCCAAGTCTCCTGAAATCGTGGAATCATGGAATCATGGAATGGTCTGGGTTGGAAGGGACTCAGCCAAAAATCAGTTGATTTCTGTCAGGAACACACGAGTCTTTGTTGCCCATAAACTCTGAATTTGCTGGTTCCTCAGACCCATAAATTAACAGGAAATTTGTTTTGGGGGACCTCCTATTTCCAAAACCACATTTGATGTATTTTGAAGTTCATAGAATCATAAAATCATGGACTGGTTTGGGTTGGAGGGACTTTAAAGCCCATCCAGTTCCACCCCCTGCCATGGGCAGGGACACTTTCCACTATCCCAGGTTGCTCCAAGCCCTGTCCAGCCTGGCCTTGGACACTTCCAGGGATCCAGGGGCAGCCACAACTTGTCAACAATATCCTTTTTACAAGGAGTTTTCCTGCCAGTCTCCTCCAGTGGGATTTGGGAAGCTGTTTACCATAAACAACTGCCACTGTGTGAACTGTGTTCTCATCTGCAGCTTCTGCCACGAGCTGCCAAAAAACCCCAAACTGAACACAGGAAATTAAAAAATATATATATTTATATGTGAAGGAAAATTTAAAAGCAGAGTTGAACAATAATTCTGACTTGTCAGATTTAATCCTGACATAATTGGTGACTGAAATGACTGTATTTTTTGCTTCAGTGGGTGATAAGTGTCTGAAAGCTTAACTGAGTCTCTGGGAGATCTGGGGACTGGTAGCAATTAAGATCAGTTCCATCCCTTTGGAAACATCTTCACCTCCGTGTCACAGGGTGTAATTTGGGAAGGAGATCACACTGGCTCCATAATCACAGAGTGTTGTTCAGCCTGACATGGGAACCAGATAAAGATTGGTGGGAGGCAGAGGGAGCAATTACAGCTTTGGGATCATTAAAATGCAGCACAGGGAAGGGCTCCAAAAATGTGCTCAGCAACCAAAAAATCGACAACGTGATAAAGGGACAATGGTTGGTTTGGGTCACTGTGCCATTGGGAGCAGCAGATAAACCAGGAATTGTTTTCATTTATTGTTATTATCATTAATATAGTAATAATACTAATATATTATATCACTAAAGTAATAACAATAACAAGAAGAAGGAGGAGAAGGAGAAGAAGAGGAAGAAGAAAGTCTACTTGGAGGATCTTAAAAATATACCAATTTTAATCTAAACCTTAGTGGGGGATTTGTACCCATTCCACCCCATAATTGCATCTCTTTTGATTTTAAAAAATAATGAAAATATTTCCTGTTTATCTTTTCCCTCCAGAGAAAAGAGTTTAGGGAGATCTGTTGTACTTTTGCTCATAATTAGTGTGTGAAATTAAGATAATTGTCATTAAGCTCATTCTGGGCTTTTCTTCTCTTAATAATTTGAATAATTGGGTTGGAGTTCTGCACTTGATGTGCCTCTCAGCCTGGTGCAATTAAATCCATTAGAACCCAGCCTACACAAATACAACATTAACATCCTGGGTCAGGAAAAGCATTTTCCTAAATACAGCCTTCAGTGTTTCCTCCAGAATCCAGGCTCTTCTATTCAGGAAATGATGGCTGAACTTTCAGGTTTGAGTTTCTGATGTTAATTATTTGAGATGCTTTAAGGACTGGGATGCTTTACCCAGAATTTGGAACTCGTTCACTTTGGGTTCTCCATTTTTTGAGCCTCGACTGGGCAATGACCCATTGGCACAGCACAGGTGTCTGAGAGGTTCGGGGGGGGTTCCTCTGATGCTCCTTTCCCTGGATTTCTGGTGTTTCCAAGCTTTAAAGTCCCTCCTGACCCAACCCATTCCGTGGCTTTGTGGCTGTGTCATTTTGCTGCCTTTGGAACTGGTGCCGACAGAGTTTCACCTCCAGAGCAAACCCTTCCAGCAGGATCATCTGGCTCAGGACCCAGCCAAGGGTTTTGTAATTCAGTGTGTTCATGGTGATGTAGTGTGAGGTCCAGCTGCCTAAATTTAGGGATCCAGAGCTGCTGGAGACTCCTGGGCTGTGACTCTGTGAACTCTGGAGCAGGAGCGTTCCCTGGCTGGGCTCCAGTGGGTCAGAAGTGTTTGTTCAGTGCCCAGAATCTCAGGCTGCCAAATTCCCCATCACTTCCTTTAAGGCCCCGTGGAAAGGGAATATGTTTGAAGTTGGGCTGCTCTGTGTGACTGAAATCCTGTCGTTCCCCAGCTGGAAATGGATCTGGCCAAAGGAGAGGCTCGGCAGAAAGAGGCAATTCTGAAAGTCAAGGAGGAGGCCAGGGTGGAACTGGACTTGGAGAGGCAGAAACAGCAGGAGCTGATCACAAAGTACCAGCGAGACCACGAGGAGCTGCAGAAGAAGGTGTGGAATGCTCAGGAGAGAACTCCTGTGGCAGCAGATCAGATAAAACTGTTGAAAACGGGAATGGGAAGGAATAAAACCCCCTTTATGTGTCATCCTCTGTCTCGATGATACAGTGTTTTTCCCCAGTCTTAATATAGGACCTATATTTAATTTTTTTTTTAAATGGAACAGGCAAAAAATAACTATTCCAGTTCAAGTGAAATGGTGTGGAAGTTCTTTGTTGTCGTATTTTCTCTTCCCATCTGTGTCCCTGGATTTCAATTTTCAATCTGACATCATCATTTTGCAAAACCTTGGGACTGTTTCAGACTATGATGAGTTCCCACAAACCCATCCATGTGGTTTTTTCCCTTCCCAAAGGGCCAGTTCCCACCTTCTGGGCTCTGCTGGAGGTGGCACCAGGTGGGGTTGGCCATTCCCAGCTCCCCAGAGCTCCAGATTCTTGAATTTTATGTAGAAATTGAACAATTTTACCAATAACCTTCTCAAAGGATTTGGCACGATTCTTGAGAAATCTGATGAAAAAGGAATTTGATGAAATTACACTGTTATTTAAAAGTTATGACATTGCACAGTGCTTTAGAGATGAAAAGAACACTTTGCCTTTGTTCACTTGACAAATATTTGGTTGTGATTTTAAGACCCTGAAGAAACACTGATTTGAAATTTTCCCATTTTTACCTCAATTTCTCTGTTTGGTCTTGAACATACTAATTAATCTCTCTGTTCTGAGTGTTGTTTAATTACAGCTCTCTGACACCCTCTGAGGGCATTCTGTAAATTCAAAGCATTTTTTTCTCTCTGAGGACATGTGTGTTTGAATTTGTTGGTTTTTTTTCCTCAAGTCAACATTTGTCTGATATTAATTCTCTCTGTACAAAAATACTGACTGTAGATGAATGCAGTTTTTGTCTGATCTCATGCAGATACCAGGTTTAATATCCAGTGCCACCAAGAGCTTAAGGATGGAGACAGAAATCCTTGAGAAGAAGCTCCAGGATGCCCAGATGAAACTTGCAGAGAAAGATGGAGACAAGGAGAAAGAAATTCAGAGCCTTAAAAGACTGATCAGTGAACTTGAATTTCAGCTGACGATGGAAAAGAACAACAATGAATCATTTCTGGATAAACTGAGGAAAGAAATGAAGCACAAGTCAGATGAACTGGAAAAATTAACCCAGGAGAGGACACAGCTGATTCACAGCTTGAGTCAAGTCCAGGAGGAGGTAGGAACATGACCCAGGAAATGCCTGGCTATTTTTACTTGGAGACATGTGATTTCTAACATCATTCAAAGTATCTGTTTTTCAGACCAGAAAACCCATTGAAATGCAAAGATTCCTAGACCAAGATCATGATAATTTCATAAATACAGTAGATTACTAAATACAGGAAGTTTTAATTCAGCAAACACTTAAACTCAGGGTTTATTGTGTTTTATTGAACAATATTTATATTTTTCAAGTCCTGCAGGACATTTCTTTCTCAGCCTGTAGCCTCAGTTATGCTACACAAACATGAGTGAACAACAAAGAATTCCCCATGTTTTTGGAGTGGAAGTCATGGACATTTCTCACTTCCCACTCTTTGAACTGTGTCCCAGCTCCCCCCAGCCCAGCCACGTTCCCTGACACAGGAATGCATGGAAATGACCCCACTGCAAAGAGAAGCTGGAGTGATGGATATTCTGACCTCAAGCATTTGCTGAATGCTTGGAATAGAATGGGAAGGGAGGAGAGAGCTGTGCTGCTCCATGAGAAATGTGCAGTCAGGGACTGCAGATAAGATTAGGCTGGAATGTCCAAAGCAATTCAGTGGCAGAAAAAAATGGGGAAATAGCGAAAATTAAACTCTTCAAAATGAATTAGGGCCGGGGTTGGTATTTATGTCTTCCTTGGAAAAGGTTCAGGAACAGTGTGGATGAATTGGAGGGATGTTGGCAGTGGGTCTGTCAGTCCTGCCCTGTCCTGGGATGGGGACATGGATCAGGGGTGGCCTTGGCAGAGTGGTTGGACTCGATGGCCTTTCCATGATTCCACACAGCTCGTGCCCTTCCATGAGGAGGGTTATGTAGGAAAGGGTCAGAAGGAGGTCGTGCAGTGACACTGAACCTTCCCAGGAGCAGCATTCCCAGCTCCCAGCCGGGCAGCAGAGCGGGGATGGCTCCTGAGCACTTCCCTCAGATTTCCCAGCGACTGCCAAGGGAGCGGCCAGGCTGGAAGCGCTGCCGTGTGCCAGGAGTGCCCCGGGAGGGCAGGAGGGGAGCGGGGCAGGTTCCACATCCCCCGAGCCCGTGCCAAGCGTGTGTTTGTGTTGCAGAATTCCCTGCTCCAGGAGACGGTGCGCCGGGAGTGCGAGGAGCGCTGCGGGCTCACGGCCGCGCTCAGCAGGGCCCGCGAGCAGGTGCTGGAGCTGCGGAGGCTCAGCGGGACCTTCCCGGGGCCGCCCTGGCCCCGCTCCCGGGCCGGCCCCGCTCCCGGCAGGGAACTGCGGCTCCCCGGAGCCCTGGGAATGCCCAGAGCCGCCAAGGGAGCCGCTGCCGGCCGGCACAGCCCGGGGTCGGCGGGGCCCAGCCCTCCTCACGCCCCCCGGGGAAGGGCGGCCTCGCTCCCCGAGCCCAGGAGCAGGAGCATTCCCGGGATAACGCGCCGGCCCAGCCAGCTATGACACCTCCACAGCCTGGGAAACCATCCAGGCCTTCAAAGGACCCTTGGCCTATGGACACCGGGGGCAAATCTTTGCCAGTGCAATCCATCCATTTCTACAACCTGAAATTCAGTTAAATTTTTATTTATTTTTGTTGCAATAACGTTGGTTTGTCCGTGGGTTTATTAATCGGGTGATGAAATGCTGTTTACCTTCCAAGAGGAGAAAAGTAACAGAAGAGTCTCTCCGAGAGGGGCACATCTTCAGAGGTGGAATTAAAACCATGGAATCCCAGAAGGTCTGGGCTGGAAGGGACCTTAAAGCTCAACCAGTTACAACCCCCTGCCAAAGGGCAGGGAATGATGGCCAATCCTCATAGAATCCAGGTTGGATGGGGGTTGGAGCAACCTGGGCCAGTGGAAGGTGTCCCTGCCCATGGCAGTGGGTGGGATGAGATGAGCTTTAAGCTCCTTCCAGCCCAAGCCAGTCTGTGATTCCATGATTTAAAATCCAGGCTCTTATCCACCAGCTCCCTGTTTCTGTCCCGTGGCAGCAGCCGTAGTAAAGTCTGTGTGGCCAGAGAGGAACAGCACGGAAAGTGAGGAGAGAGACACAGGACAATGTTTGGAACATGAGGGAAGGTCTGAACCCTGGATCCAAACCAAGTGGAGAACAAATATTTCCCTTCTCCCCCTCCCTCCCAAGAAGCTGGAGCTCCTGCTGCTAAGCAATGAGCAAAATACAGAAATGTCAGGAAAGCTCTTGGACTGGCCTGTAAAACCAGCTCCATGAATGTCTCCATGTCAGGGAGAGGTTACAGGCTGGTTTTGTCCCGGGGTTAAAGGCAGCAGCACAAAGTGTCCCGAGCACGTGGACACCACAGCACTGGATTTTTAGGAAATCGAGCTTCCTGCAGGGAATACTTCTCTCAGGAGTGGTGTCAGAGACCTTGCACTCCAGGACTCCTGGCATGAGGGAGCACTAAACAAATCTCCAGGCTTGGAACAGATCTGCCCCCAGGGCCGTGGCAGCATTCCAGCCCTTCCCTTGGAGAAAACATCCCACGGCACCAGGGTGTTGTGTCCCTCCCTGATGGACAGGTTTCTCTTTGCCCCTGTCAGAGCTGGTGCTGTTGCCTGATGTGGAACAGGAGTTCCTCCAGCCCTAAACCTTTCCCTGAAGGGTTAACCCCACCGTGCCAGGCCTGGTTCCTCTGGGCAGGGTCGGTGGTGCTGGTCTGGGGCCCCTTGTGGTACCAAACCTCACCCACGGCTTGGCCAAACCTCCCTTGGGGCCAAACCCATCCCTATTAAAGCTCCCAGGAGGGTGGAGCTGGGTGGGATCAGTCTGTTCTCCCAGATAACAAGTGCCAGGACAAGAGGGAGCAGTGGGATTTCAAGCAGTCAGTCAGGGCCTCACAGGGGGCAATTTTCCACTGAAAATTGCCCAGAATTTAATGTTCTCCACAGAAAGAGTCCAGCCCGTGGCCGGTCCTGCTGCTCCTTCAATAGGAAATTAGATTATCACTTACCATAGGTGTGCTTCCCATGTGTGTCCAGCTTTCATTCCCACTGGGAAATCACAAACCAAAGTGCTGATGTGCCTCGTGGATTAAAGATGACGAAGAGCCCTTGCTCTGAGGTGTTGTAGGATCTGGGATCCAGCCTGTGCCTTGCAGGTGGAGTTTTTCCACAAAAGAAGAAATTAGACTGCAGGAAAAAAGCATCTTAATTTTTCTCAGCAGCATCAAAAGTGCATGAAATAGAAACTGGAGCCAGTTGATGCCACATATCATTAAAATATATTAACCAAAATAAAAGACAGACTGACTTCCTTTGCACTGTGTGTTTTTAATACTAAAAAAAAAAAAGAGCAGAAGAACGAAATTGGGGAAATTTCTGAGACACCCTCCCTTTAATTTTATTTTTTTAAAATGGGGGCTTATTTGCATCATGGAAATTGGATGTTGGATTTCATCTTTGCTGGTTACAGGTGGTTCAGTGTGTCCTGCTGGAGGAAGAATAAACTCCAAAAGCAGCTGTAACAGGGAGAAAACTATAAATTAATAGGCTGAGCACTAATGTGGGGCTTTCATCCTCCCAGCAGAGCACAAATGAATTGGGATGGGATAATGAAAAGGGCCCTGCCAGAGATTAATGTTGAAGAGATTTTGACACCAGAAATAAAATTTGTGTGGTGGAAACAGGAGCATCTGGCACTGCCCTGTGAGCTGCTCCCAGCTCACGATAAGCCCTGAGCACATTTTTATATCTTCTAAAAATCAATTGATTTCCAACTGTCAGAACAATGAGTCCTTTTTGCCTCTAAAACCCAGGCTTGCTGCTTCCTCAAAACCAGAAATTTACAGGGAATGGTTTCTTTTGGGGATCCTCCTATTCCCAAAACGTATTTAATGTATTTTGAAGTTCATAGAACTGCAGAGTCACAGACTGGTTTGGGTTGGAGGGACGTTAAAGCTCATCTCATTCCCCAGGCAGGGACACCTTCCACCATCCCAGGCTGGTCCAAGCCCCATCCAGCCTGGCCTTGGACACTTCCAGGGATCCAGGGGCAGCCGCAGCTTCTCTGGGCAACCTGTGCCAGGGCCTCACCTCTCTCGCAGCCAGGAATTCCTTCCCAGTATCCCACCTGACCCTCCCCTCTGGCAGTGGGAAGCCATTCCCTGTGTCCTGTCCCTCCAGGCCCTGTAATCCATGCGCTGCTCTCCCTTTCCTCCCTTTTTCCCATGCCCATGGATGAGCAGCTCTTCCTTGGCAGCAGAAGGTGGGGTGAGGCCCCCCCGGGCTGGGTTTGGGTTCCAGCTGCTCTTCCCCATCCAGGGATGGAGCTGCAGGGGGAGATGTCTGAGGAACCTCCCCGGGAACCGGCGCTGACCCCGCTCCTGGACATGTTCCCGTGAGTCACTGGCTTTTGTGGGAATCCATCCCAGCCTCGTCCCTCCATCCCTCCAGCTGCTTCCTGAGCACGGGCAGCGCCGCACGAGCCGCAGTGTTTGTTTGGAGTTACCAGGAGCGAGGGTTCCCAACAAAGAACCACGTGTGCCTTTAGGGGAAAAGGACCCAGAACAGGCTCACCGGGAACAGTTGAGACTGCCCGGGAAGGGCCAGACAGGGGCAACCAAGTAGCAGCTTTGCCTCAGAGGTTGTTGCCAACTTCCTTCTGTTTGCTGATGTCTTTTTGGGGGTTGTTTTTGTAGATTCCTTCTAAATATAACACCAGCACCTCCCTGGAGGGGGTTGGAAGCTGTAACTGGAGCTGAACGAGGCATTAATTCATCTGCTCCAAGCTGCACTGGGGGAGAACTTGGATTTCTGATCCCTGGATAAAAGTTGGTTCTCAAGACCAGGATTTTCTATGAATTAATATTCAGAGACATTCATAGAAATCCTTTCCTCTGGCTCCTTTTAGGCAAGGATGTTACAAACCTCCTGGACCTTAAACCCCGAGATCACCATAACCCCAAGAGCAGGACACAGGGCGCCCAGAGAAGCTGTGGCTGCCCCATCCATGGAAGTGTCCAAGGCCAGGTTGGAAAGGGCTTGGAGCATCCTGGGCTAGTGGAAGGTGTCCCTGCCCATGGCAGGGGGTGGAACTGGATGGTCTTTAACTCTTCCAACACAAACCAGTCTGGGATTCAAGGATTCTATGGCACAGGACAGGGGTTGGCAGCTCTCACCCAAAGCCCTGGGTCTGGTTTGGGGATTTTGTTTAAAGTAACACATCTTGGTCTTGTAATCAGCAAACCCCTGGGTTTTATCCTGTGCCCAGTGCTGCTCCCAGGGGAGGCACAGCACCCATGGCAGGGTTCAATTGGAGGCACCTGGATGTGCTTTGAGGAGCTGTTATCCCAGGAACTCCCCAGCACAGCTTCTTAAAATCTCTTACCTGGGCCTTGAAAGGTTGGCTGGGGACACCTTCCCATCGAGCCGGCCTGTCCCAAGGTCACTGTCACCAGCTCTCGTCCTTGGCTGCTGAGGGGAAGGGTGTCAGTGCTGCCTTTGTGTTCCCAGGCTGTTATCCCCGTGTTGGCTTCGCTGTTGCCAAGGGAACCCACGAGCAGTCCTAAAACAAAAACAGCCGCGAGCCATCCCATTAACACGGGCAGACAGATCTCCCCAAACCAGAACCAGATGTCACAGATAACATCTCTGTTTGTTGCTTGCGGTTTCCTTGATGGCAAACGACTACTGTGCTCTCATCCTGCGTGTCCTGCTCGTCCAGAACATCGTGTGGATACAAACACTGTGCGCTGGGAATGCTGGCCCGGGGCCCCCGGCCGAGAGACACCGCGGGGGGAGCAGGAGGGAGGGAGGGAGGATGTTCTCGGTGCAGAGAGGGGGTGATTTATTCCCGCGAAAGGAGCAGCAGCGACCAGCGAGCAGCAGCAGCACCCAGCCCTCCCCCTCCACGGTGTGTCACCAGAGCAGGTGTCTCCTCAGCATGGGGGGGAATTCTGAGCCATCTCCAGCTGACTCGAGATGCTGAGGGTGTTTGTTTTTCAGAGATGTCGTGGCACAGAAAAGCCTTTAGGTTCTGAACAAAGCCTCGGCTTCCCAGCCCCCAAATCACTCTAACCAAGGAGCTCAGGAGCTGGGTGCCAGCTCCTGGTCACCCCACACCAGGTCCCAGGCAGGAAGGTATTTTGGGAAGATGCACCAATCACTGGATGGGTGTGTTTGAACCGGTGAGAGCCCTGCAGTGGATTCACGTGGTTTAAGACCCTTTTGCTGTTGATTTACCCTCTTGGCTCCTTTCTGAGCACAGGGCACACACCAGGAGCTGCCCAGGACCTGCAACTGCCTCAGTGGGATCAAAACCCCTGCTCCACTCACCTGGACTTCACTGGGGCACAGAAACCCTTCCCCAGCAGGATGGGTAAGGCCTCAGGAGACTCAATTATTATCCTTCCCACGGCTGTTTCCTCTCAGCTATCAGAGCTCTCCAGGGGAACAGCAGGACCAGGCAAACAGCTCTGGTCAATCCCTGTTGTATTTCCTGGGGCTCTCTCTGCAGTAGCTGCTGGGAAATGATTTCCTTGACAGAAATCACAGCCCCTGGGAACTGTTCCACGGTGCTGGTGGAGAGAGGAGGGGCAGGTCCTGTCCCCACACCTTCCACAGTCCAGGTTGTTCCAAGCCCTGTCCAACCTGGCCTTGGACACTTCCTGGGATGGGGCAGCCACAGCTTCCCTGGGAAACTTGTGCCAGGTCCTCAGGGGAGCTCAGCTGTGCTGAGTGACCCCACTGTAACCCTCCTTATGGGGTAATTCAGGCTGAACCCCCCAAGCTGGCACAGCCCAGCACAGGGAGTGTTATACCGGCTGTCACTGGTCAGCACTGGGGGATCTCACAGGGCTGGTGGGTGACATCACCCCTCGAGGCTTCCCATCCATCCCCACAGCTGGAATTCGGGTGTCAGCTGAGTGTCTGACCCCTGCATGAGGCTGCCCCGGGGCAGGACCCCGTCCCTTCCCTGCTGGCCCTCCTGGGGGTTGCTGTGCTGGGCTCCGGCAGAGCCCGGGAATGCTCAGCAGGGAATGCTCAGCTGGGCTCTGCAACACTTCCACCTACAGAACGAACCCTGAACGGCAGCGGGAGCAGCGGCAGCATTCCCAGGAGTGAGGGGTGCCCAGCATCCCTGGGATCCCCAGAGCGGTTGGGGTTGCTTGAGGTGGGTCCATGAGCCCCTTTTCCTCTCCACCAAACCCCTGACAAGGGATTTTCTACCCTAAGACAAAAATGGTAACTTTTGCCAATTTTTCCCCTCTACTGGAATATAAAGACTCATTTTTTCAGGCCAGCTTTGCTAATTTTAACTTGTTTTGTTTTGAGCTGCCCCGCTGGGCTGTGCCCAGGCAGGAGGTGGGGATGGAGAGCTGTTGCCTTTGCAGGAGTGTTTTCCCCTCTGATTGCCAGAGCTCTGCTGTGCCACAGCCATAGGTTTGTTTCCTGCCCCAAAGAGCCTGGAAGCAACAACCTTGTGCTTTGGAGCAGGGAGCACTGGGGAGCACGGACAGGAGAGCCACAGGCTTGGCAGTTTGTGGATGGCCTGATGGGAAATGATGGATTTCATGAACATTCCCTGGCAGGAGCAGCAACCAGGGGAAGATTTCCTGGAAAAGGGACCCTTATCAGCTTGTGCTGTGGCTGCTGCCACTCACCTGTGGGGTTTGGGGGTGGCCAAAGCCCTGACAAGGACCTCTTGAGCCAGTTTCTGTCAGGAATATTCTTACGTTGTTCTTTTTTTCCTTCCCAAACCATCCAAAGCTCCTGGTCCAGGTTCATCCTTCCAAGGCTTGTGACAAAGCTGAAAGGGAAGGGCAGAACAGTCTGAATGTAACTCCCTTCAAACATTTGCAGCACTTTGTTGACAATTAGTCAAAACATTGTAACAAACCCTTTTCCCTGAGGAAAAGCAACACTGAGGGTGAGACCAACCCCCCCCCCCAAGCCCCTGTGCCCCCAGAGAACTGCTCAGCTGGGACAGACGTGTCCCCCTGTCCCTGTGGGTCCCAGGTTGTCAGAGCTCAGTGGCAGCACCTGATTCCCATCAGTCGGTCAGGCAGTGCAGGAATACTCTGGTTTTCCCAGGGAACTGTCCCGTGGCACCACAGAGGGTGCCACACTCGGTGCCACACAGGTGTCCCCACCCTGTCCCCCCTGCCAAGCCCCTCTCACCATCCTGCTCCCCTTTCCCTCTGGATTGCAGCTCCCACGGGCAGTCCGAGGCTCGCAGTCAGGTGCTGTTGGAGCTGGTTTCCCTGGGTCCATCCCAGCCAGGGGATTGTGCCTCAGGCTGAGACACAGCTCCCATTCCTGCCTCCCCCAGCTGCCATTCCCAGGAGGGCTCCACTCTGCCAGTGCTCAGCCAACATTTGCCCGTGACCATCTGGGCTTGAGGCTCAGCCTGAGCCACCTCTGCCTGCTGTGACAGCCCTGGAGACACCATCCATGAAAATCCTGGGGAAGATGGACAGGAAGGACCAAAATCCTAATTCCTGGTGCTTCACCTGCACACTCCATCCCTGCACAGGGCAGGACAAAGCCCCTGCAGGTGACAATCAGGGCAGTGAGACACCAAAGGTCAGTGCTGGGCACTCAAAGCTCTGTCTTCACTTCTCAAAACCATCCATCAGTGTTTATTCCCCCTGCCTGGGCCTGTAGGGAAGCAGAGCTGGGGGCTCCAGGTAGGAGCTGTGGTGAGGCCCTGCTGCTTGGAGGCTTCTGGATGTCAGTGGTGGGTTTCCAAAGCCGCCACATCCCTCAAAGGTGTTTGTGCTGCTGGAGGTTCCCCTTAGTGACCCAAGAACGTGGAAGACACTGAGGAGTTTAAAAATAACAAGCCTTAAAGAAAAATCCCTGTCAGCCACTGAGAGAGGTGAGTGCAGCCCCGAGGGACGCTGGGGGTCAGGATGACTGAAGCCAACCAGCCCCTTCAGGGGATTCATTTTAGTGATGTAGAGCTCAGGGAACACACACAGCCCTTCAAAGCCTCAGCAGAGACAGCGACTGTCACAGTGAGATTTCTAGCTCTCATGCCCAGCAGGGCCTTGACAAGTCCTCCAGGAACAGGGGCATTAAGGGGCTGCAGCCACTCAGGACCATCACCCTGCCAGAGTTCTCCCCCCACAGAGCCCACACACGAGCGAGGGGCCCAGGCAGTGACTCTCAGCTCACCCGCAGTGGGCTCCTCCTCCTGACAGCTCTGACCTGGAACTCCTGGCGTTGGGAAAGTCCTGCTGCTTTTACCTCAGCAACCACCAACCCCACAGCCCACGGCTGGCAGAGCTCTCGGGTGGCTGAGGCCACCATCCATCACTTCATCCACCACTGGCTGGAGAGTTTTTTCCCCATGGAGAGAACAGCAAACCTCTCGTTGCCTGTCAGTGAGCAGATGGTGTGTGACTGTTCATCTCCAGCTGTTCCAGCTCCACGTTGCAGGTCCATGTCTGCCCAGCACTGGAAGCACAGGAGGGTTGTTAGTGCTCACACACACAGAGCTGAGCCCCCCAGTGTCACCCCCACACCCAAACCCCCAGTCCAAGGGAGCTCCAGGCAATCCTGCTGCTCCTGCAAGCTCTGGGATTCCACTGTTGCCCTCGACTATCCGAGCACTGGGATCTGGGGGAAAAGCTACTCCCGTTGCCATGGCAACAAATGTATTTTCCTGAAAGCAACGCACACAAAACACAGTTATTACAGATTAAAAATCCACAGTGGTAACCAAGAAACAGAGAAGACATTTTCTCTTCTCCCCTTCAAAAATACACGTTCACTTTTGCATTTCCAGGGCACAGTTGCAGTCGGGGCCCAGCAGGACATGGGGCAGGAAAGCTGCAGCTCAGGAAGGTTCTGCTCAGTTTCCCTCCCCTGTTTGAGGCCTGCAGGGTGTGGGCACCCAGACTGGCACTGCTCCCGCAGTCACAGGGGTCAGACCCAACCCTACCTGGGCTCTGCAGCTCAACATTCCAGCCAGGTCACCCTCAGCAGGGAAGTGGAGAAGCATTTAGGGAGGGAAAATGTCTTTCCATGCTGGACTCTGGGTCAGCAAGGACAGCAAACCCCTCACCCCTTGGGTTTCAGGTCTTGGTACCACCTGAGCAGCAGCTGTAGGAATCAGACCCAGTTCCTCCTCACCCCTTCCCTCTGTCCTTTCCCTGGCACTGGAGCTGTCCCACCCCAGGACACAGCTCCAGTAGCTGGACACAGTGAGGAGCTCCCAGCAGCTCCTGCTCCCAGTGCAGCACAGGGAATGTGTCTGAGCTTCCCAAGCTGTGTCAGCATGACCCATGCAGGGGTGGCCCTGCTCAGCTGAAAGCTGTGTCAGCACTTCACCTGCAAGAGGATCCCTCCTTCCCCTGCCAGCATCCTGCCACTGCAATGGAAGATGGGAAATAAAACCCCAAACCCGATCCCTCCCTGCCTTTGGAACAGCTGACGCAGCTCCTGCCCTCTGCCCCACAGAGCTGAGAGGGACAGGGACACCCCAAACTCCCAGGGCAGCTGACAGAGCAGGACACCCATCCCTGGCTCATCCCACTGCACTTCAGAGAGGTCCACGGTCATTTATTCCAACTGCTGCCTGGCTTCCCTGGGAAGGACAAACATCTAAAGCTTTCCCAGTTTACCCACCATGTCCCACTCAGGCACAGCGCTCAAGGCCAGGGTGTGTAAGAAAAGCAAGTTTAGTTCCAACACATTTGGCATCCAACAGGCAGTAAAAAAAAAAAAAAAAGCTTTATATTTTATTTCTTGTAAAAATCTTTCAACACATGCAGACTAAAACCAGTGTAAGAAAGTCTCCACCATTGTTTAAACAAATAACTATACTTAAATATAAGCGTCTGCAATTGACTGGTATAAAAATAAGGTACGTTTTGCTTTTTTACAGAAATCCTGTCTCCAGTTCTCAGCTCAATAAACAATACACAGCTCTAATACATACAACGGAACCTGACCGTGGTTTTCCACCCCTTGGATACTGCTAAGGTATTATGTGCAAAGAGTTGGTAACAGTTCCTGTCCCAAAAGAAAAAAAAACAAACAAAAGTCTTCTTGCCCCTCTTGGCAAACGAGCCCCGGGGCCCAAGTCCCTCCAAACCTGGCAGGGGCTGTGCAGTGCCACAGTTCTGTGCCCAGGGGGCTCAGCGCCGGTGCCGCCCGTGCCCCGAGCGGCCGCTGCCGTGGTGCTTCCCCTTGTGGGAGCGCTCGAAGGAGCGGGAGCGCTCGCGCCGCTCCCGGTGGTGGCTCCGCTCGTGCCGGTGCTTCTTGGCGGCGTCCGAGTGATCCCTGGACTTGCTCTGGGAGCGGGAGCGGGATTTTTTCCGCTTGTGGCCGTGTCTGTTGGCGCCCTTGAGCTCCTCGCGGCCGTGCTTGGCCTTGAGGTGAGGGGAGCCGTGGTTGTGGTGCCGCCGGGGGCTCCCGCTGTGGCTGCGCGAGCGGCTCCGCGACCGCGAGCTGTAGGTGCCCGACAGGCTGCGCCGGTTGTTGTAGCTGCAGGAGAGGGGGAGTTAGAACCGGCCTTCCACACAGGGAAACAACAACCAAACCACAGCAAAGGGGCTGCCCGGGCACTGGGAGAAGCCAGAGACTGTTTTTCCCACGGGGATAAATGAGGAAGGACAGTCAATATCCCCAGTGTACAGCCTGGGCTAGTGGAAGGTGTCCCTGCCCATGGCAGGGGGTGGCACTGCATGGGCTTTATGGTCCTTCCAACCCAAACCAGTCTGGGATTCTTTCAGTTGAGCTCATTTGAAAATAAACAGCCCAAACCAAACCCAGAATGCAGCACCTTTTGAGATTTTTTCCACGTTGTCAAGAATCTCCCCTCAACACCAGCTCACAAACTGCTTATTGCCCTTTTCCCTCAGCGATCTCACAGTGATACTTTGGGGAACCCTTCATTAAGATCCAAGTTGGCAGCTTCCAACTTGGATATGAGCCTGAAGATTCTGCAAAACTACATATTTATGAAGGCAGGAGCTCTCCCTGCATCCCCCTCTTCCCACCACAGGAGAGGGGCAGAGCCCTGAGGAGCCAGCAGAGCACCAGGGAGTGCTGACACCACAAAGCTGCCACACGTCCTGGGGCACTTCTCACCCCTTCCACGGGCACTGTGTGCCCAGACTGCTCCCATTTGTGATGGGATCCTTAGGGAACTGAGCATGCCACAGCCCCCGAGCCCTGCCCCCCCAGAGCCCCCACTCACTGCCGCCTGGGCGTGTGCGAGCGAGACCGAGACTTTGTCCTCGACCGGGACCGGCTGCCGCTCCTGCTGCTTCGACTTCTCTTGCTTTCTTTTCTCAGGCTGGAGGGGGGGCAAAAACAAACCAGGCTTGCACTTCTGAGGCACTTGTTACTCCCCCTGAAGGAGCTCAGCAGTGGTTCACTGTACTTTAGTTAAAGAAAGCATTTTTACTCAAGTATTCTCTTTACCAGGAGAGGTTTTACCTACCCATTGTAAGGGCTCTTGGAGGTTTGCTGCCTCTCCTCTGGCTCCTTTTTAATGGTTTTGGTATTCACAGACACTGGTGATTTCTCTTCAGCTTTTACTTCTCTCGGGGAAGCTGAGAAATTTAAATTCAAAATTAGCTATTTATTAATCCTTTCTCATGAACATACTGTACATCTCTTAAACACCTGTACCAGTATCTGCACTAAATGTAGATACGAACTCAGTAGCTCCTATTTCATTCCATCTTTCCATTTTTAGTTCATTCCTGGAGCAGGATGTTCATGGGGAGACCCATAATGTGAATCCAAGTGACAGCAGAGGAGGAAGAGCACTGTGACCTCCACACAGCCAGGCTCACCTTCATCCACCAGGGGCCAAAAGGCACAAAATAAAAGCTGCCCTTACGGCCCACAGATACAGAGCTTGTTACTTGGACAATAATTTCCAATGCTACAGAAAGGATTAAAACTGAACAGCAAACTGCAGCTAAGTGTGTTCAGTCCATAAGTGATTGTCTCTACAGAGATGGATTCACCTCTCACAGAAGGGCTGCTAAGCCCAAAAGAGCTCCTGCTTTCCAACACTCCCAGCCTTGGCTCCCACCTCACATTCTTTGTCCATGAGAAATTCACACTTGCCAGGTCAAACCCTCTGAAAACTCCGACTCTTCAGAAGGGACTGTGACAGTGCTGCTCCTCACAACACATGCCCAAGCTGCTGCAGAGCCACAGACAGACCAGGCCCTGAGCCTCCTGCCTCACCACCAGCACTGGGTCAAAGCCTGTGAGGGCCTTTGAACCCCCCTGGCAGTTCACAGCTCAAAAGCAGCAGCAGGGAGACGTGAAAGCACCAAGACAAACCATCAGACTTCTGACAGACAGGCTGGTTCAAAATAGGTGTCACAGTTTATTCCCTCTGGTGCCAAGACTGTGCTGTGCCTCTCCCTCCTCCATTTCCTGACCACCAGCTGCCTGCCTTCACCACACTGAACAGCTGCCAAGTGCATTAAAAAAGGCAGAGAAAGCCGTTTTCAGAGACACCTGCAGCAAAAGGAGCCAGGAAGGCCATTGCAACATCCCCCAAACTGAATCTAGAATCTCTCCTCACACCACGTAACACACACCAACTCCTGTCTCATGAAGGGTGCATGTCATTAATAGATCACTCTCCCATCTGTGGAAGTATGGAGTAAAGTATCCCTTTTCCCTATAATCTGTTATTTCAAGGTCTTGAAACTGGGTTAAAAATCTATGTTTGAAAAAAAAAAAAAAAAGAAAGATTTGCCTTGCTGCTTAGTTCTGTGAGGGAGCCTAAACTGTCTCAGCAGTTCAAGAAGCAAACCTGCCTTTTTTTTTTTTTTAACTACCCTGGGACACAGATTTAGTTACTTATCAGCAAGTTTCTATTCAGAAAACAAACTTACATGGTTTGGATGCAGGAGAAAAGCCACCCAGTGTTGAGAGTGCTGGAGTTCCATCTGGATTTAAACCTTTTGCCTTCAGTTTAGCTTCCTGCAGTGCCATTTTCCTCTTTTCTACTTCTTTATCCAGAAACTCATAATTGGGCTGTGGAAGTAACAATGAGGTAAGAGGCTGAGCTAATGCAATTCGTATTTTCATCTCATTTCTGAAAAATACTCAGTTGGCTTTAATCATCTGTCCAGTAATGGGGGTAATTTCCGAATTTGTTCTCACACCCTCCTCACGGGAGCCTTTCCCATTAGTAGATCTGTATTCCAGCATTCCCAAACTTTTGGAGAGCTGTAACTCAGCTCAAGCTGCACTGAGCATGGAGCAGGAAAACCGAACATCTCTAACTTACCTTTTTTCTGGTATAAAGCTTGAGAGTGGTCAGGCAGATCTCCTGGATCTCCTCTTCCGTGGTGCCAAAGAGCAGGAACCAGTGAGGGCGAGTGGGCAGCGGAATCTGAAACCCAAACAACCAGCAACAGGGATTACAGCCCAGGCTTTTGTTTTCAATGTCTGCATGAATTCTGTTGAAAGCAGCCCCCTGGCAATGCGAGGCAGTGCTCACCTGCAGGGCCCTGGCAGCCAGGTAAATGCAAGCACACGCAATGGTCTCGGGCTGAAAGCGAACAAACACGTTTGTCCGGAGGCTGTCGTTCATGTAATTCCTAAAAACACACAGCAGGAAAGGTTGGATCTCTGGTTTACTTTTTATTTTTTTTTTTTTAAGAGGATAACAATATTGGAGACTCAATTGACTTTATTATTTTTTCTGTTATGATGTTAAACACATGGTTTCTGTGGAACTGTGGTATTTGGTGCTGAGGTGTCACTTTGTAACAGTCTGCACCTTGGCACTGCTTGAATCCCAGTGCAACAATGTGGAGTAGCAAATGCCAGCAGCATTTCATGGCTGCTTCCTTGGTTCCTTTATCCCAAAATGTCCAGAGCTCACAACCTAACAAGTACTTTGCATCTGTCCAGCTGTTTGCCTCAGACACCAGTGGTGCTGTATTTAAAAACCAATTTAACACTCAGGTGCAAGCAGGAAAGCACAGTGTATTTGCAACCTACCATCTTCCAGAGGCAACCTAGGCAGTTCATAAAACACTGACTGCACTTAAGTTTT